TATTTTTGCGCACTTTGAAGGAGGACATCGCCTTAATTTTTCTCCTAACGACTTGTTTTTTTTTCATATTTAATTAAAAAATATATCACTAAAAACTAATTTGCGAAATAGCAATTCACATCACTTCGCTTTTTAAAATACTTTCCAAATATTTGAAATGTTTCAATTTCGAGTTACTGTATTAAAAACGAATTTTATTGTCAGTCTATATAACTGATGATGTTTAAAAAAATCATGTTTATAATCTGTTAAATAATCGATACGTAGCGAGCAGAATGGTCAAGATGATATTTCTGGTGACTCGAAATCGAATCCGGAAGATCGAACAACCCCAAAAATACTTTAAGTTGCCCGTTTTGAATATTTCGGGTCCCGTATCTCATTGTAAGCCTGGCCGAACCTACGATGTCTCTTATAAAAGTCCCTGTTATGCAAGTTATTTTTATTCTTTCCTTCCTGTGATGCCCACAGAAAAGTTTGTTTGTTTATCTATTAAGTTACGGAAACGCAACACTTGGGCTATCGACATAGGAACGAGGTACCTTCCGGGAGGTGTTTTAAGGGTAACTGGCTCCTATTCAGACGTTACAGACGTGGAGAAAACCAGAAAACTCCACGTGGCCAGCCGGTCCTGGCGAGGCGCAAACCCACGACCGAACTCCCAGTGTTCGGGGAACGGAACCGCTCGACCACTGGTGGGTCAGGGAAAGAAAGAATAAAAAATAAAACACTTTTCGAAAGATGAAAATAATTAAAACGCTTTTAATAACATAAAATGCTTATAAAGTATATAGAATAATAAAGCTTTAGATATTAATAAAACGGTAACAATCATAATAATGGAAAGAAAAGGATATGTCATTACACAATGCAACTATGTACTTGTAAGATAGCATCCGGAGGAAGTATATAGATATATAGGGGAGACCGGGGCAAGATCGGCATGTTAAGCTTTACTTAAATTTTGTGTAATAAATACTGCTGTAAACTGAAAAAAAAGCTTTGCATATTGTCTATTGGAATGTTACCTTACTATAGAACTGGTTAAAATCAGTTTGGAAATAAAAATAATTAAAATAATTACAA